CATTGATATATTTTCTGAAGCACGAAAAAGTATCAAATCAAGAAATAAAGGTCATTTGTCCTTTTATAAAAGTTTGGCCCGTGGTGCAGATGGAACATAGATGGAATACGGATCCACGCGAGACAATGTATTCAATTTACATCCCGTAGGATTATCAGGATTTTTTTCTGACGTATGAACTGTCTCCTCACAATAACATAAACAAAAATAATATTGAAATCGGTCCAGCAGTTCACGCGTGACGGCGTTACCAAGGGGTATTGTTTTTTTTTTCATTTAATTGCATATATTATGTACGCAGAGGTACACAGTCAAGCCTTATGTATTTCGAATAACCAGAATTCTGATGATACCTTAGTTAATTTTAAGGTGTACACTGTACCCATTAATTTTATACTTGTTTAGTAAGTTCTTGCATATTCATTTAAATTATGACAGCTATGTATCTATTTACAATATTATTCATGTTAAAGCCACTAGGAAACGTTTGACGCGCGACATGTTGCTCAACATGTTTCTCAACTTGTTGAATGTTAACGCGGAACATTTGTTTACGATGGAGGTGGTATGAGAGTAGGATGGAAGAGGAGAGATACGAGGATACGAACAACTAACAATGCACTAAAACAAACAACAAGCCGCGCGTCATGTTGCGCGGCAGCTGGCAACGTCGCGCGCTGTTGTGCAGCGTTGCTGTACATGTTGAGATTCATGTGTCGCACACCAAATGTTGCCTATATAGTGGATTTTTTTTTTAAGGGGGAAAATCATCGAATGACTGCTCCCGCCTGGGTGAGGCGGAAGGGAGTGTCAGACTCTTACTGACTAAAAACCACCCCGTTCCTTCTCCTACACGTCGAGCCGGAGCCCCGGTTACCCGTTAGGTTCTCCGCGACGCCTATATAGTGGATACGAGGCTTTAGTTACAGTAATACCGAAATAACAACAAAAACACAAAACAAACGAGGTAAACGTGAAAGACCGTGATTGCAATTGAAAGAAATTTCCTTTTTTTCCACGAAGATAATTTGTGAACCACACAAAGAAGACTCGGCTCAGCTGCCAGATACCCAACCTGGGTAAACTTAAAAATAAATAGATTTTAAATAAATAAAAGAAACATTAGTTTTAAATACATAATTTATTTCTATGGTACAAGATATTTCCAATGATTTGCTGTAACAGAATTTATAATTGAAATATGAAAACAAATGTACAATGTGGTCACCGGAGCGCTTTATGTTAATACCAAAACGTTTTTCATTTTTATAACAATTTTGTTTAAATATAAAATCTATATTCCACGCTTGGTTTATTGATTATCAACACTTTATAATCAGGATTGCATATAAATAATTCCACCAATATTTTTTCCCTAAATGTCCATTTACACGCATACGAGACACATTTTTTTAATATTTATTTATCAATATAAACATAAAAAATAACAAATCGCACATTCATTTCTTGTTTTACACTTTTTTTAAGACAGTTGCCGTGTTGTGTTTGTGTATATAAGTGTTCGTAAAACGTGTTTCTTACATAGTAATGTACCGAAAGCACTTTAGGCGATAATTTATTTATTGTCTACAATTCATACGAATGGGACGTCGAAATGTTGTATCGATTGTGTAATCGATTTGTTACTGGCTTAACAAATAACAGCACTGTAGATAAGTAAAAAGAGGTTTAAATTTAGAACAGTCTCATGGTTAGCAACTGTCTGGCCGCCATGAGTGGGTTCCTGCATGGGGCTACATAGAAATGCATATTGTTCATTCTGTATGAGTGTGTGTTGTGGTAAATATTGTATATGCTATGCGCCAGGCTTCGCTTACAAGTCCATAATGACACTTCACTTTACTGCAGCGTATCACGTTGTGGGGTTTGTGTTACCTGCAAACAAAAATTAACTGTTAAAATGCATATCAAACTACACAGAGATTTCTTCGTGGTAAGTTAGTAGACAGGATTGAAGGACTAACTAAATAACTAACCTATTACCATGTCTAAAGGAGGGATTAATAAAAAATAATAAAATGTAGTCGACAAACATTTATCACAAATGTTTGAGATAGGACAAAACAGAAAATATAGAAAGAGGCATGAAGATATCATTTATCATTATGACAAACCCCTGCAATTTAGAAGTCTGTAACTCCGTGAAAGGACTGACAAGAGCTGTAATTGGTAGAATGATGATAATCTTTATATATATAATTCTTCTTGACCGATTTAAATGAATTTTTCTGTACACGTTTGAGTAGAGCCCTGGATGGTTTAGATTCACAAATCAGCCCGGCAGATGGCGCTGCAGTCGAAGTCTAGGTTTTTTATCCTAAACCGCTGAACTGATTTGAATGAATTTTTGTTTATACATTCAAGTGGATATGCAGGACAACGTCTGTTGGGTCCGCTAGTATGCTATCTAAGTCCAGAGTTTGTGTTATACCTAGTGATGTGCCACTGAGAACGTTCTCGTTGCCGGCAATATTGCCAGTGAGAATATTCTCAAGAAACTAGAACGCTCCCGGGAATATTCTCAATGTTCTCAACAAAATAAGTTTACTTTGTAATTCGATGTTTTTGTACATTCATAGATGATATTATGTACCTACAGTGTTTCTGTTTTATTACCTCGGCGCTAGGACTAGTCCTTAGAAGCAAGGTATGAGTGAGTAAGAGATATTACTGTCCTGCTCATTCTTTTCTTGGCCAACGCGCGCCGCGTTTCGCGTTACTTGAAAATCAGTGTGTTTCTGACTTTTAAAGGCTTAACACGTTGCGTTTATCACTGTTATTTTTGAATTTTAACAATGAGTAAAAGAAACCCAGTGTTCGATCATTTTACGCGTATAGAAGCTAGATAAAAAGGCATACGGCAAAGTTCTTAAGCGACGAAATATCAAAAATTATAGAGGAACTGGGGGTTGAAAAGTTTGTGGCCATAGTTACGGACAATGCAGCAAACATGGTTAAATGTGGGCGGTTACTCAGCAATAAATGCAGCTCACACTCTACATTTACTCATTGGAGATATTTTGAAAAATGACAAAATAAAAGAAATATTTTCATTCATTGTTTCTATTGTGAAATCGGTCACGCAATCACATCTCTTGAATGCGGAGTTCGAAAAAGTTGCACAAGAAAACTCTGTGACAGTATTCCTCATCTTACCAGTCAAGACAAGCTGGGGCAGTTACTTACACTACATTGAAAACTTTAGAAAATCAAAATCATTACTACAAATACAACAGAGATATGCATAAATATAAAAATATGTTGGGTTAAAATAGAGCGGCATGTAAACATTTTTAAGCCAACAGTAGATTGGATAACTAAAAAAATTAATTAAGTTTACCAAGCGTTTACAGAAATCGAAGATTTGCTTCATTCCGAAAATGCAATCCAAATATTCGAAAACCATTTAGAAGAAATATTGGCTAAGTTTACACAAAGAAAACGAAATGCATTAAAATCAGTTCATTTTGCAGCCGCTATTTTGGACCCTGGCAACCAAGGTACAACTTTACCTGCTAACGCGAATCACGATGGATGCCAGGCAATAATGAACATTGCACAGTGTGGATACGAGACAAACGGACCAAGAATCCTTGAAGAGCAAATTACAAAAGACGAATTGGCATTTACGACAAAAGTTTTCTTTGGGAATCAGCATCCACGGTTCAACCTTTGTCTTGGTGGAACGTATTTTTTCCCAACTCAGATTTGGGAAGAGCCGCTTTAAAAATGTTATCTGCTATACCTTTGTGGCGACGCATGCCACATGTTAACGGATGACGTCACAAGAATCCTACATCGCACATGCAAAGTTTACAAGCGAATAAACACGGATAGAAAATCCCAACGAGCAAGTGTTGGGCAGAAAGCCCGCCAGGCACGATCACCTCGCCTGGTCGGAGGATCCTCCTTTTCCGATCTTAGGGAACTATACTCTCTGTTCTTAGGGAACACCTTCAACATCGGCAACTGTGGAAAAGAGTTTCTCAACATTTTCAAACATACATACCCAGAAAAGGAACAAATTAAAGACTGATCTAGCTGGAAAACTGTGTTACGTGGGTCATAATTGGAAGCTCATGAACAAAACTCCTAATTCCTCCAATAAGACACAAACACAGAGTCACGAAACTCACGAATTATATTCTACGATTCAATCGGCGTCAGCTACCTCAGCAAACCACGAAAGTGATTCAGAACATGAAGAATCTATACTAGAATCTATGGAAACTTTTGATTTTAACGAGTTTCAGGATATTCAAGAAGAACCATTACATCTTGAAGATCGTCTAGCGATAGATTAGAATGAACGGTATTATCATAATATTTAAAAAAAAATCGGATTACAAAGTGTTCATTATATCTGAAAGCCGTTAAATATTGTTAGTTCTGATTCGATATTTTTTTAATCATAGTCCGTTGATTTCATCTTTATATAGCTGTTGATTTATTTTATTAAAGTGTTCACTCCATGTTTGTCAATATTGTAGTAATTAGTGAAATTGATTTTGTCTAGTCTCATTAAACGGAGTTGATTGCGAAATATTGTTCGATTTTGACCATTTTATTTGTACCTAAAACAATTAAACGAACATTTTTAACCGTCCATTATTTCCATACGTGTAAAAATAAAGTGCTGTCATCGTCCATATCAATAAAACAATATAACACAAAAAAAAATTTATCAAAGGTACAGTAATGCTGAGAACATTGCCGAGAAAGTTCCCGAGAATATTCTCGAGAATATTTGCTAACACTGGGAATATAGTCTTTTACTGCAAATAAAGTGTATTTTTTATACTCAATAATCTGTTGACTTCATTTGATACTATTTTATTTTAGAAAAAGATGGTTATTCCCATTAGATAAAAATGATTCTCAGTCATTCTCACTTAGGAGAACGTTGCCGGGAACGCTGCCGGCAATATTCTCAGGTAGGAGAACGTTCTCGAGAACGGCACATCACTAGTTATACCTGGCTAGCTATCATCCTGCAGCGAGGTGAATCGGTTCCCGAGCGCAAGTTGGTGTCGTGGCGCGGCGATGTCCCTGTCCCGCGCGGCGCCGCCGCCCGCCGTGCTCCAGCCCCCGCCGCCGCGCTTGGTGCTCGCGCCCAGCACGGGGAAGTAATCGTCGTTGTGGATGTCTGGCGCGTGCTTCTGTAAACACCAATCATTCATGGCCATATTTAAATATATATATAACATTACTTCACGCCTCTTATTCCCGAAGGGGTAGGCAGAAGTGCACATTACGGCACTTAATGCCACTGCACAATGTAACACCCACTTTTCACTATAAGTCCCATGTAATAGGATGAGCCTATTGCCATATACCGGGCACAATTCCAGACTCCGTGCTACTGAGATTTTTTAAAAACGCAGTAATAATTTGCCCGACCCGGGTATCGAACCCAAAACCCCTTGCCCGGCAGTTGCACTTACGACCACTCGGCAAATGAGGCAGTCTCAAATCTCAATCTTTAAATACATAACATACATACAAAAGTCAGAAATCGATAAACAATCCTCCTTCTACATATGAGACATGCGTATTTGTGTGTATAGGCACCACTGCCCGCATTGTAACTGACATTATCGGCCATAATGGTCACTGCAGCAGCTGTACCCAAATGCCATTTAGCGCTTGTCTACTTGTAGAATAGAAAACCAAAATATACGGAATTGACGTCAATGTTGACACTTGTCACTGTCATCCCCATACATTTTGATTTCTACTCTCTCTGTAGACAAGCGCTAAAGTGTCGCTAAAGGCCTATCCCTGTGACCGTTGACCGTGCATAACGTCGCACCTTTTTCCCCCAAAGGCTAGGGTGAGAAGCAGTCACTTATGTATGACACCCATTTTTTTTATTACATCATGACTTCGAGTCCCATATAATAAACTACTCATAGTAATATGGAAACAAATTCAAAGATAATATTTTTATTACATCAAGCTGGAGTGCTGAAAACCAGCGCCCTGGACTCGAGCCTTCGTGTATGAGCCAAAGCACTTAGCTAGCTTTCCCGCACCCGTTGATCAGTAAAAAAAAAGTAATGGATAAAAAGTATCCTATGTCCGTCTCTATTCTGATTGTAAGCAACCTCTTCACCAATTTTCATCCAAATCGATTTAGCGGTTCTCGAGTTATAAATAGTGTAACTATCGATTTGGTACTCTATCTCGCCACGCATGCCCATAAAGTGTTTTCCTTTCTTTATCCCTTACCGTACTCCTGCGCACGTTCTCAATGGGTCGCTGGCGTGAGGATGGCGGCACGTAGGCCGCGGGCTTGGTCTCGCGCGGCTTTGGTTCCTCCACCGGCGCCGGCGCTGGGGTCTCTGCTTCCGGCTGTTGCTGTAATTTACATCAAATTATTATTATTTACATCATCATCATCAACAGTCCGTTAGAAACCACCACTGGACTATTGAACCTCCTTTACCAAAGATGGAGTTGTTGGCGCATTAGTATGGCCATCGACCATAGAGGCGGCGACGCGCGGGACGGGGTATAAAAACCCACGGCCGCGCGAGCGCCGCGCTTCTTCTTCATCGACACACGCCAGCCTAGCATTCGGGCATTTCTTTGTATCGGTGTGAGCCGGTCTTGATTCTGATATATGTAGAAATTAAACCTATTAATTGTGCAGTCTTCTGTTTAAATTTAAAATAACCCGACAGAGCTACGATAATTGGTCCTTCGAGCTATTAAGTTGCCCAGTAAAATTTTGCAAATCATTGTCAACGTCATCGGTCATCATAATCACTTGGCAAGCAAGTTGGCGATTGCAGAACTATTGCTTAGCAGACAAGCCTCTCATCCAGTGATGCAGTACTAACAGTAATAAAATGGAAATCGACCAACAAGGTCTAACAAATGACTACTAGAGAGTTAATTAATATGTTTTTCGCTTTAATTATTTAAGAGGAACTCGACTATTTTCAGGCCTTGCAAGAGGCTCATATTCACGAGCAGTATTCCGCGGGACGCGATGTAGCGATTGACGAGCTGCTACTTTAGGAGTAGCTAGTCGATTTCCTCGTCAAATAACTACGTGAGTAAGCCGAAAAACATAACAATGAATTTAGTATGTCCCACGAAAGTTATAATATAAATATACCAGAGATTTGTTCGAAAAAAATAAGGATTTATTTGATACGCTAAGTCGAGAGACTATGACAGATGAATATACGAAAGTCACCTTTACTGCATACGTAATAATGTCGAACAAGGTCAGGGTCATTGTCCTTTATGTAGTCTATGACATCAAAAGTCAAATATAAATTGTATTTATTCATTGGAACAGTTGGGCCTCCTCCATATATCGAATTAGCTGTAATCTGAATGTGGGGGCCAATGGCGTAACTACAGGGTAGCAAGTCGGCAATATGCCACGAGCCCCGAGCTGGAAGGGCCAGAGGTTCTCATCTGAACTTCTCTTTTTTTATAGGGAAGAGGCGCCTGTAGTTACGCTACCACGGGGGCAGTTTAAAAGGTTTAGGTTGACTGCTGCTGGTCTTTATCAAAAGCTCGAGCATCCATGGGAAGAGGTGCCCAACTTTTAAATTTATCAAACAGCCTTAGGAGTTATGTCAGCAAAATTAAGGGTGCTGCTGCTATTACATTACAGCCCACAGATCGTCATCAAAGATTCAGCCACAAGAGAGTTTTTATGTAGTCCTAAAAACTCTATGGTAAGAAACTAGTACGTCAGTGTACAGAATTGTGGGAGAGCCATGCTTCGGCACGGAGTGATACCACGGCCTCAAAGAAAAGTGTGTGGTTGTGTTTCGTCGTGTGAGTGAGGTTACCGGAGGCCCAATTACCCCTGCTCTCCCCAGTCTCCCTAATCCCCGAATCCCCTACAATCCTTGAATTCTTAATTCCCAAAAGGCCGGTAATGCACTTATAACGCCTCTGGTGTTTCATTGCTGGCCGATTGCTTACCATCAGGTGATCCGTCGGCTCATTTGCCGGCTTACTCCAAAAAAAATACAATAATTACAATTACACTCACAGGCTTGTTCCACGGTCCCTTGACTTTGCCTCCTTCGGGCGCTGCGTCCTCCGAGGCAGAGTCGCGACCGGACTCCGGCTGTCCGTTGCCACCCTGCAGCACCTGGATCTTCAGCCCGGTGTAATCCTTCACGGGTTCCTCATACTCCTTCCATTCCTCTTCCTCCTGGAACATTTTGATGATGATTTAATGAACAGTTTTAATTGTAAAGATGGAAAATTGTGAAATGACTACCCTTTCGTACAAGGGTGGCTTGGGGACTTAGTAAGCGATTTAGTACGATGACTGTCGATTGTTGCTTGCCTCTTGCTCCTACCATTTACTCTTCTCTGCATCACCCAAAGGTCAGACTGGAAGAATATGCCTGTGGCACTAAGTGCACCTAATGTACACTCTGTGCATGAAACTTAAATAAATAAATATTTCAATACTAATCCTTACTGTCATAAATATAAAATCTTGTCATGTCTTGTTGGGTTTTCTTTCATTTATAAGGTTTAAATTTTTTTTCTGCAGATAGTCAGGCTAATGGAAATGTAAAGTCTAGATTTTTTTGACCAAACAGTTGAAACTAGCAATATGTACTTCATAAGAAAAACTCTAAACCCAGACCTCCAAAGAATAATTGAAAAACCTTTGATATTGCACATTAGTCATTAAAAAGTACTTACATGCCTATTAACCATAGTATCTCGTAAAACAAACAGGTTTTTCAAATAATTAGGTACAACATTAATTCTGACCTTTATCAGCAAGTCAGTTACCAGTGTAATTAAATACCTATATAATCTAATGATCGACAAATATTACTAATTACTCATTCAATTACACAGAGCTACAAGGCTTATCAATATTTTCAAACAATCACATTTCTATTTGTAAAATGTCATTATAACTTTAGGATTTTATCTCCACAAATAACTATTATCTGCCACAATATATCCACTGGTGAACACATGGCTCTTTCTTAATGTTTATCATATTCCTTAAGTAGCTGTTGCCCGCAAGTTCATCAGCATAGAATTAGATTCCTGTTTTATCCCATGAGAATATTTAATTGGGATAAAAGTAACCTAAGTCAGCAGCAGCAGTCAGCAGTATACAAAATTTCATAAAATCTACTTATGAATACGTACATCTAAAAGTTTAATACTTATTGTTTTTCAACACGCTTTTTCTTCCCGAAAAGCGAGTATAGATAGATACTATGACTTAAGTATGATAGATCATAATTAAGTCATCAAACATCTATAAGACCGTGCAACCGAACCAGCAATTGCTGATCGCAGTTTTACGACGATTGTTATTGCTAAGTCACTTTTCTTTTTCTTTCAACAAATAAATACTACAAATAATTACTTATGCTAATAATAAATACTCTTTATAGTTTACACACTGGCCTCGCATGACCATAGACAAAGCTAGAACCCGATCATGTGATAAAAAAATAACAAAGGACTTGAGACACTATTATAATACACTATTTAACATAAAAAATTGAATGCAAATATTCTATATGGTTTTAGAATACATGAAAACGTTATATTTCATGTATAAAGACATGAATAATGTTGATAATGTATAGATCACACTTACAATATCATAACATATTCAATTGTATAGTTTATGCATTATATCCTTCATGGTGTTTTTATACCACATGCAAATGTGTTTTTTACACAGTCAATGCATGAAATATTAAAGAATTGTGTTAAAAAACATGATCTATATTTTTTTAACACTACATAAGTGGCAAACAAGTTAGCAAGCATGGCCTATGTACATCGGCTACATCTGAGATATTGTTCGCACATCACAAACTGCGCAAAAAGTTTTGAAAAGTTTCTTGAAAAACACCATGCTGCTAACTTTTAGTTGAATTTTGAGTAGAAGCTGATGTGTTGGTCATGATTCAATTACAAAAATATTCAAAGAAAACATTTAAGTCTCATGAATACCTATGATGAAATTGTTTTTTAATATTATAAAATACCACGAATAATTTTATCTTAAATTATTATTTTCCTTGAACACTCCATAAATATAGCAAGTGACACAGTTAAGTTGTCACTCTGTCAATATGAATACATAAATAACAAATTATAATTGTTTACTTAAGAATCTTTGTTATTGTATTCACTCAAGATTAAAACTTCTTGGAAACAATAAAGGATAAGGGCTGTATTTGGCTGTATGCACATTTCCTTTGCCTTGAACTCATGTGTAAATTAAAAATGTATGCATCATGAAAAATATGTCTATGGGCAGCCCAAGTACACTAAAGAAATGCTTGTTTTCTTTACTAAACTTATAAAGATGGAGCTTAAAGTTACAACGTGTGGCATTTTTTGTGCAACCACAATAGCTTGCTAACAAAAATTTGCATTTACCCCAACTTTCTTTAACAAAAATTTAACATAACCTATATCCACCCTCCATGTAGTGACAATGCATTACAAACTTCATCTGTCGAGACGCGATTCTACAAAATGATAATCGCAACTAATGTATTCGAGCATATGAGAAAATTGTGCTTGAAATTAGGCTATGATTGTCGACCTACAAAAATGGCTAGATTTTTATGCGAAACCAGGTCATACGGTACAGAGGCTTGATAAATAGACAACAGACATTAGTCATCGGAGAAATTAAGAGGCCTACTATAATCTTCAAGAAAGAACACGAAATCACCACGACACAAAGATGTCTCAAATGTATTGAAACATGGATAAAAATTAAAGTAAATATTAAAAACTCACCCCAGCTCTGCCTCCTTCTTCTCCTTCTTGGACCGGCCGCTCTTTCTTTGGCCTTACATCTGATTTCTGTTTTGGGTCATCCAATTTTTTGGCTAACTCATCAGCCGTCGCGAACTTCTTTATAGCCTTTGACTTTTTGCGATCCTTCTTGGCAAAGAAATCATCTAAGTCTGCCATTTCAAAATTAGATTTTGGATTTAAAGATTTACTCTGGTAACTACAGTAATATTGGAGCTAAACGTAAAGGGGGAAATTGAGCCCCCGAAAAGTGAAATGATTTCTGTAGCAAGCGTGGCCGACTGTTTCTTTTTTTTAAAATGGCAGATCCCGTGTTGCCACTTTATAACACAATATGTCACATAGAAATTGCCACTTTAGTTAATAAAAAAACTACCACAACTCTCAGTTCTAGGAAAATCTGCAATTTATTGATAAAATTATTTACAAAGTAGGTACATAACTAAACAATAAAATTAGGTAAAAAAAATTGGAATAGATTATGGTGGCCCTATGTATGGTATGATGGATCTTAAGTAATTAAATGAATTAAACTAAATAAATCAATTTCGTAATTCAATGCTTTATAATAAAGTTAACTATAAAACTTTAAATAATCTTTTAATTTCGACTTTTTCTTCTAAAACAAGGAAAATGTGTAACATAATCAATTCATCATTGTTTGTTGTACTCCACAAATATTGTCGCCTGATTTTCCTTCCTTAAAATGAGACACCGATCATGTTGTTGTCATTTTGGAAATTTCGACGGTATTAAAACTACTGCCTATAGTTGAAATACACGTAATTCAAGAAATCATCATCATCACTATCATCAATAGCTGGAAAACGTCCACTGCGTAACAACAACCTCCCCTTTAGTCTTCCACGTAGAACGACGACGTCAACGGTCCAGAAGACGAAACATGGGCAGGCCTCCCGCTAGGTAGACCGGCGACATCACCAGAGTTGCGAGGAGCCTGGCTCCCCTCTGGATGCAGGTGGCCTTGTCGTTCGACCAAAGAAATAAATGATGATAAAAAAATAAAAAATACTTTACTGCATTTTATGAAAACAAGGCAGCGGACTGCAAAGGGTCTCCGATTCAATACTCGTACGAATCGGTCAACTATTAAAATTAACATTTTTCTAGACTAAACCAAACATAAACCATATATTTCATGAGACTATAATGGCTATAAGTCGCACAGAGTGGACTTTATATTCAATATGTAATATCTCTATCTATGCATCTAGTATATACATAATTATGTATACTCTCTTTTCGGGAAGAAAAAGCCTGTTGAAAAACAATAGGTAAGTATTAAAACTTTTAGATGTATGTACATATTCATAAATTTTGAGACTGATCATTGACGCCTATAATAAAGGATCAAATAGCCTTTCTTATTAATTCTTATTGTCTTACAGATACAAAAACCCAGACACTACATAACACGCCGAATTCTCTTTCTGATCCACAACATTAAAACCCAATCACTTTGCAAAGGCTTCACTTCACACACGCATTACATACAAATTCAATCCATTTAACATCGACGGGTTGTACCAACGAATAAGCTTCGTTGAAACGTATTCAGTCCTTATCAAGTCGCCGGTCAAAACCAATATCCAATACTTTATCTTATCTACATTTACCTGGCCATTTTGTATTTTCAAGAATAAAATTCAACATGTTGGGACCTTTGGCGAGAATTTCGAACCAATCTGGCAGGAATGTGATGAGGAGTTTCATCAGGAATGGATCCAATGGTGGAGTTCCTGGAGAGGTATGTGGATTTTCAAAATATTCTTCTGTTACGTAATTAACAGGCTTACTTAAGTGTGTAATTTCTAAGACAACCACGTTTTCTATCTTTTACTGTGTTGGATTTACTAAATTGATGGTCCCTATACTACATATTATATATGTTTCAAGTATTACTTAGCCTGTTTAATAAATCAAATACTCTTCCCTGGCTTACTGATACGGAATGCCCCATATTTCATCGATGTCCGAATAGTTGCATTCTTAATTGAACCATAATACATATTTGCAATGAGTACTCAAAGATTTCTAGTAGTTGATTAGCATTTCTATAACCAAAGGTCTTGAAACTGCCATTTAAATTCTGTCCCATCTAGATACTCTATTTCAGTTTCACAGGTTCTCATCTTTCACCATTGTAAACGTAAAGATGACATATACATATTAATGACGAGATAGATACTGAAAGTTTCAAAATGATTTACTGCAATGGGATTAACTCAGAAATCTAGTAATTTTCTGTAAAAGTAAAAGCTAACCACTAGAATCGGAAAACTTGTCATGAACAATGACTAAAATGATAATCATGAAGTCGGCCAAGTATTTTACCTAACTTTAATTTGTTTAATCTGCCGTCACCACCCGACACTGGCAGTATAGTCGACAACATCGTATTGGAGGAGACTCGGTTGCCAAAGAAAAAAGAAAAAAAAAACTTTAATTTTTTAATCAGACTCTTATAATTTCTACGTTTAATACACCGTAAAACAATCGTTCTTTATTCACTTCAGTTAATCAGTCATAACATCGAAGGCTGAGTCGCACTGAGCTATTTGAATGCATGTTTGCACAGAGCCATGTTTGTTAAACCACATAATACCTAGGTATGTTTTGCAGCACAGTATTGCGGATAACGTGGCCACAAGCATGTTATTACAATCAGTTGTAAAATGTTATCGAATAGGGCTAATTAAATTAAATTCGTATTAAGAAAACCGTAGGCATCAAAATTTTGTTCAGGTTACATACATAAATACATAACATCACGCCTTTTATCCCCTAAGGGGTAGGCTAAAGTGCACATTATGCCACTGTACAATGTAACACCCACTTTTCACTATTTATGTTACGTGTCTCATGTAATAGGGGGTGAGCCTATTGCCATATACCGGGCACAATTCGAGACTCCGTACTACCACTGAGATTTTTTTTAATCCCGGTAATTCTTTGACCGACCCGGGAATCAAATCCGAGACCCCCTTGCCCGGTAGTCGCACTTGCGATCACTAGGCCAACGAGGCAGTCCAGCTTTTTCGGGATATATAGTACACTATTATTTAATCCAGACTACTAACTTTACGTCTGAAAAAATTCAATGCAATCGGTTTACTAGTTACAGCGTGAAGTCGGAACAAACAAACAAACTCACTTTCCGATTTATAATATTAGTACTAAAGGAAGTAAGGATAAGGATTGTAAGTTAACTGCTATACAAGAGGGGTTTGCCGTAATCTCAGCGTTTGGCAGTTGCGATGGATCCCGTATAAAGACAATGTTTTCTAAAATGGCCATCGCTTTATTCCAGAACCTTCCATTCAACATGCACAACCGCACCCGTCTCACCCTGAACTTCTTCTGGTTCGTCGGCACCGGTATCGCTGCCCCATTCGTCGTGCTGTGGCACCAGATGAACAAGAACTAAACTTGGTAAGTTTATTTTAAACTTTTATGTAATAACTGTCTAGACATACTAAACCCCTCGAGCGTCCTTATGAGCACCCGTTGGATCATAAGAAAAATGCTCCATGCTGCTTTCTCTTTTATAAAATATATTATTAATGTTTTGTTTTTATCTGACTGTATTTTTTATTTCTATTGTAATGATCCTTGTTTTCGTGTGCCAATGGCCAAATAAATGCATTTTCTTTCTTTATTTCTTTCCAAATGTCACGTGTGCACCCGTTGGATCATAAGGAACGCGGACGCTCGACGGGTTAATTGATTGAAAATAACGGTCTCATAATTTAAGAATCCCGTTGTGACTTGAAAGTAGTAGAACTTAGGCCATGTGACTAACCCGTTATTTTTAATTGATTTAAATTTTAATATTTAACATAACATAACATCCTTTTATCCCCGAAGAGGTAGGCATAGGTGCACATTACGGCACTTAATGCGACTGTACAGTGTTACACCTACTTTTCACTATTTATGTTATGAGTCCCATGTGATAGGGGGTGAGCCTTTTGCCATATACCGGGCACAATTCTAGTATCCGTGCTACTACAGAGTTTTTTTAACCCAGTAATGTTTGCCCATCCCGGGGATCGCACCCGAGACCCCTTGCCCGGCACTTGCGACCACTTGGCCCACGAGGTAGTTAATAATTTTAATATTTAGTGCAAATTATTGCCTGATTAGTGAATGAGTAAGCTGGCTTCTGCGCATCGTTCCACATATTCTATTCCCCCATGGAAGTATTCTTTGTAAACATGTCGAGACATAATGTCCCAATGGACTCATAAAAACATTGCTTAATACGTACCTTTCGAATAGTTATGTCCAATCCAATTCCTTTCTATGTATAATGTAATTAACATTGGTACAATAGTGTATTAACAGCTATTTGTCAGATGGAGGGGAGTGTCGCAGACACCTCACAACTTTATTTTGTTAGGTAAACAATTTTATTGGGTCGACACACGCAAATATTTGCATAGGTAAAGCAGGTACACACAAAAGCTTTTACTGTGATGTAGTCATGTAGGTATTATCTTTTGTTAAGTAATAATCACAATATACATAATTACATTATTATAATAGATGTCTTTATCACCATTATTATTATCTCATTGGATTGTCAATTAAAAGAAGAGTTGCCGAGCTTTCGAATCATAATCATAATAGTCATTGCGTAAAGTAAGTTGTGCCTCTGCGAGCCTGCCTTTGTAAGTAATTATACTTGAGTTCATTTGGGAAAGGTTTTTATTGAACATTTTGATGTTTTAAATTACTGTTGTTGTGTAAAATCGTATTGAATTATCGATCGAATTGAAATTGAAACGCCAACGATAATATCATCACATATTTTCGAGAATATTTTAATTATTATCGTCATTATTATTTTGTTACGTCAAATACTAAAGTAATTGTATTTTATTTTATTTGTATCTGTATGTAAAATCATTGTACCTATACCATTCCCAAATGAAATCAAGTATAGGTAATATTACTTATAGCGTCAAAAGTGTCTTTGCATTGTTCTCACATATACGTAGGTACAGTATTGGAATATGTATCAGATACATTGTATAACATACTTTTTTAAAAAGAGTAACGAATGGAGTTTCTTCCTCGTCCTTCTCCATTCGAATCTACATTTTGGAATGATCATCTAACTTCACCTAGCTTCACTGACGGACTGACTGACAGACTATTATTTATTTTGTAGGTATTTGTTGACGTTTTAAAAGTATCAAATCAAGGTTTAGGTAATTGAAATAAATGCTTTGACTTTGACTTTAATCTAATTATCAACCTATTCTATAATTCGGTGAGTACAGCTATAAATTATTGCGTGGTTAAGTTTATCCATTGAATCTTCTCATTACCTTCTGGCAATTTGTGTTTGTTTAAAATATTTGTTCTTACGTCTACCAATTAGCGCAAATTAACTTGAGAAGTAATTGTGTCATGCTTGTGTGGTATTACGTAGTTATTGTGTTTAAATGGTTAGGTGTCTGGCTACGCCATTCACAACCGCTATAAAACTTGACTCCTTATTGCTGAGACAACTGCAAAGAGGTAACATGGCTGCCATTGCCCGTCTATAAAAATGTATAGGAATTGATTGCTTATTGTGTTGAAAAGGGAATGTTTATATTTTATGTTGGTATTAATTATTATCAGCAACTTAGAGCCAAAGCTCGTAGACCCAAAATCCCAAAATTAATTAAGTAGTAGTACCTATTTCTTACAAACTACGTAAAAATACAAATTTGTATAATTATTATTGTGCCGGGCAGGATTCGAACCCGCAAGCCCCGAGCCGTGATACGTTGCATACCACCCGCGCCAATCACTGCACCAATTAACTATGTATCGATTCAAACAGAAATATGGTTTACGATAAATAGCACAAACCTAGTACTAGACTAAAAATGAAAGTTTTGTATTTAATGTATAGTCTTAATTACACTAACAAACAAGGTTCAAAATAGTTTTTATTTTGATTTCAGGTACACTTCAGCTGAGCAAAGTTAAGCTTAATTAATGATTAAATAATTTTGTTACTAGCTATGTAGATAAATCTCAAATATAAGTGATAGAGAACAAAAACAGTAGTTTCATTTACAATATTTTTTTCAAGTTACAGATGCGTTCATTTCAAAAACTACCACGAAACAAAACAATTGGAACGTTTCGGTAGCTTTTATAAAAAAAAATAACACCACTTTTTGTGAAGGAAATCGAATTTTCTGTATTTCGTGAGATTTGTCAAAGAAATCTTACTCCAGCAAAATGTTTGCTCCTATTGCTCGTATTTCAAACAAACTGGGCAGGAATGTGATCACCACCATGGTGAGGAACCACTCAAACGGTGGTATTCCTGGGGAGGTAAGTTCTAAATTCAAAATTTTACGTCATTACATAATCTTGGAATGCGTCAATTGTTTTTATTACAATTAAAATTAAAATATTGTCTAATTAATTAAATCTTGGTAATTACCCTTGCAATAATTGTACATAATCTGATTCTTCATTGATCAAACACCTAAACTAAGTCGTGCCAAAATATTCATAGGTTAAGTTCCCTCTCTGAACGAAATCTTATTTTGTTTAAAATATTCTGCAATATCATTAAAATTTGAGATACTTAACCACGGTGTCATCGCTACATTATGTTAATATCAATACTAAGTATTGGCAATGCGAAATGATCTGTGTAATTAAGTGTATTTATGATATTTTTGCAAAATAATTTCAGAACCTGCCCTTTGACATCTCCAACCGCTACAAGCTGACGGTCTACTTCATCGCATTCTTTGGCTCCGGCTTGGCCGCTCCTTACCTGATCTGCCGCCATCAACTCCTGAAGAAGTAAGATATCACATTATGATACTTAAATTTATAAAAGTAATATTGTTTGTCTCATGTTTAACTGGCATAAAACTTCTGAATAAATCAAAACTGTGGTGAAAATTAAGACTAAACATTTTATTATTGCTCTGTGGCTAGAATAGTCTGATATATTTACTTAACTGTTAAATCCTGAAGCGGTTACCGGTGACTGCTACTCTGTTATAGACCTTATTTCCGATGTTTATAAATTTCCATATCACACTTAAATTAATTATTTTTGTAATCCAACTTACAACTGCTGTTCATGTCTTTGCTAATACATCAAGAACTTGGTACAATTTATTGGCTGAACTGAAGAACGGAAGTGACTATAAGTAGTTTTATATGTGAGAATTAAATTAGGGAAGGCAAACAAAAATTCAATGTAAAATGGACTTAAAAAGTATATATTTTTTTTATTTTATTTGATAGCCGTTATATTCAGACATGACAATATGTATTCTGAGTTATCGTTGAGCTTTTTCTGGGTGTCTGTTAGCTCGGTGGCAAAGGCTTGCTCCAATCTTCTCCATTCTGGCCTTTCTGTACCTATTCTGCCCCTAGTTATCCCCGCGACTTGTCTGATGTTGTAGTTCCACCTGTTTTGTGACCTGTATCTTTTTTTCTTTCCCTTCCATAGGTAGCATTGTGTGACCATTTTACTAATGTGACATAACATGATATAAAATATTCCATCCTTAATTTATTTTTATACTTATAAATACAATGACTTGTATCATCATTATTATCAGCTCTAAGGATGTTGAAAAAAAGGTTGACGTAATACAACTGCACTGTTGCTGCGGTGGCTGGGCAACCGACTGCCGTGCAACGTGTCGCGGGTTCGATTCCCGCACGGTACAACACTTTGTGTGATCCACAAATTGTTGTTTTGGGTCTGGGTGTCATTGTGTATGTAAACTTGTATGTTTGTAAACGCACCCACGACACAGGAGAAGAACCTAAAGTGGGCAACGTTTAAAAAAAAAACTAAAAAAAAAGGACTAAAAAAAATCCCGTAATGGGCCATGTCACATGACAGATGTACTTCGTGTCAATGTATGTGTATTCTCTTCTCTTCTTTCGTGTAAGTCTATAGTAGCTAGGTGCCACAGTCATTGCTTAAAGAGACTATGTTGGCCTTTTTGTCAACATCCTTGATCAGCCCACTTTTACCCACTGCTAGTTATTGGCCTCCACATTATTCTGCTATAATTCTCGGTTTTGGGCATCCCTACCTATTTCCAGTGATTCTGACAATATTGTGTACACAATGCATTTATTGATAACTCTTAATAAATCTTTTCTTTCAAAATGACTTTTACAGATTAGTTTATTGAATTGAATAATGTTTTTAATTTTTTTATTTATTTTTTTTTTCAGGTAAAGCTTCAACCATCTGTGTTACTGCATCAAATGTTTTAGGTTTAAGCTAGCAAAGTGTACAATATAATCATATTTATGATTTAATAAATTCCGTTCTAGAATTATCCTGTTTATTTTTTGTTAGTATGTAAATGAGAAAGACTGCCTTGTTGGCCGAGTGGTCGCAAGATCGACTGCCGGACAAGGGGTCTCGGGTTCGATTCCCGGGTCGGGCAAAGTATTATTGGGTTTTAAAAAAAAATCTCAGTAGTAGCACGGAGTCTGGAATTGTGCCCAGTATATGGCAATAGGCTCACCCCCACAGAGCATGTAATTATACTCACCCCCTATTACATGGGACTCATAACATAAATAGTGAAAAGTGGGTGTTACATTACATTGTACAGTGGCATAATGTGCACCACTGCCTATCCCTTCGGGGATAAAAGGCGTGATGTTATGTATTATGTAAATGAGAACTATGGTTTTGGTTAGTTTTTGATCTGTTTATTCCGGTGAGATTTGATGAATAATTTCTCCAGTCAATAACAAATTGGTTCGACAATAAAGTCACAATAATTTTTAATTTAAAAAGTGATAGGCAAATAAAGATTCCCTTCTTATGCTCAAAGTATTGAACCTGGCCGGTTGGAAATTAGCCTCTCTGCAATGACGGATGCATTATTTTATGTTTATTTATTTATTTATGATTTACCAACATTTGTTTACACCAATACAATTGTCGAGATACAAATGTGAGTTCTTTACAGTAAGTGTAACAAATACTTATAGGTAAATACAGCATTTCCAAAATTATTATCTTACATCTAAAACAAACTAGATATGAATTTTTAACAGGAAAAAAAAATGTTACATTGATATGATAAATATCTATGTTTTATGTAGTTTTAAAACTATTTATTCCTGAGCTAGAAGTTACGAAACTATAATCGAGCGTGAATTGCCAGGATAAATAAAAATGACTAAAAGACTTATGATCAAAATACAAAAAAGAAATTGGGGTTTGTCTATGAATGAATCAAAGTCATAAGTCAAGGTGACAGTGACAATTGTTTTGTTTTGCAAGTGCGGGGCGTACTATAATGTGCGTCGTACCTTTTTATTAACAAAAAAGAGTATTTTAGGTGTTAAACTAAAGAATTGAATTAAACCAAGTACAATGTTAGTTGACGATCATTTTTCAATGTGAAACCAGTCTTAATTGAAGACCTTTTCGCCGGTAACCTAAAAGAAGTGAAGCGCTAAAAATGTCAGAAACATCTTGTTATATTCTGGATAATGGGGGTTACTCGGCTAAAGTGGGGTTTTCAAACACGGAGGCTAAGGTAGTCCCTAACTGTATTATGAAAGCGAAGTCAGAAAGACGTCGTCCATTTATAGGTTCCCAAATTGACGACTGCAGAGATGCATCAGGATTGTTTTACATTCTGCCGTTCCAAAGAGGTTTTCTTATCAACTGGGATACTCAAAAAACAGTATGGGACTACATGTTTAGCAAGGAATGCTGTCCCGTTAACTTTAGTGAGACACCTCTTATAATAACTGAGCCATTATTCAACTTCGCATCCATACAAGAAGCGATGACCGAAATATTCTTCGAAGAATACGAATGTACGTCATTGTTGCGGATAAATGCTACTGATTTGGCTGAATACAAGTATCGGAAGGATCATACCAATAAATGTACCCTTGTAGTTGACTCTGGATATAGTTTTACCAACATAGTTCCGTATATTGATGGAAAAAAGTACCGGGAGGGCATAAGAAGGATAGATGTTGGTGGTAAAGTACTGACGAATCATTTGAAAGAAGTTTTGTCATATAGGCAGCTGAATGTCATGGATGAAACTTATGTTATAAATCAGGCAAAGGAGGATTCATGTTTTGTGTCGCAAGACTTTCTAGCGGACATGGAGATTGCTAAGAAGAAAGGTGAAAATATTGTATTAAATTTTCTTCACATAATTGCATACATAAAAACTGGTATTTTGAAGAAAATGCTGTCCAATTCTAATGTTCTTGTCAGTCGTAATAGTCACTTGTAAAATCTCTGTATCATTCTAAAATATTCTAAATAATTTCAGTATGTTGTTTTGTGGTGCATGTGTAGAATAGAATAGTCTTTATTGTACACCATTAATATAGAACATACACAAAAAGGAAATAACGAACATAAATAAAAAATAATAATGGACACAAAGGTGATCTTATCACTTATAGTGATTTCTACCAGACAACCTTTGGGTGGATAATTGGATATATTGCAAAAGATATATTTAGACGGGTTGTGTACTACAAAAAAAAATAGTAATAACCATGCATACATATACACATACTTACATACCTACTCTTAAATATACCAAAATTGTGCATCATATAAGAGGAAACAAAACAGTTTAATGATGACATTATAAAGAAGAGAGATAGTGCTTCATAATTTTAATTTGCCTACCTAATAATTAATTACCATTATGTATTTTCTTTTTGACAATAGTTTTGCTAACTCGACTGCTGATAAGTGATGATGTGGCTATAGAAGGAGCATGTCTGATTTACATGCTATGCTTGTAATTCAGACATTTGTATTTCCAATAAATAAATACATTTGTATTTACAATAAATTATACATTTCTCATATTTTATGGTAATACCAATCGCGCGCACGATTATCACGCGAATTTATGGCATCATGTAAACTGGCTGTTCTATTAGAATTTTACACAAAGTCCACTTGAAATATTTCATTTATGGTATACCATCGCCTGAACTTTTATTTTCTTTGAACCTTACCCAAAGTTCTTGTGGTTGGCTCAATACGTCTTCAGTTTTCTTTACCTATCGTCTTTCCTTCAATTCGTTTACCACATGACTTCCTTGACATAATCACTAAATCGGCAGTCTTTGTTACTTACATATAAAAAATAGGTACCTTTTATCTTACCACAAAAATTCTTCCTAATTACAGGTTCAGAAAACACAATAGTAAAAGACTATGTTCTACCAGACTACACGTCCATTCGCCGCGGATATTTACGTGATATTGTCAAACCGGACGAAGATTTAGAACAGCAGACCCTTCGGATGAACAATGAGAGATTCGCCATACCAGAACTGCTGTTCCATCCATCAGACGTTGGAATACCTCAGATGGGGATTCCAGAAGCAATAATGCATTCCATAGCCGCCTGCCCAGAGGAACACACTGAGACCTTGCTAGAAAACATAGTTCTTTATGGGGGCAATGCCATGTTTCCAGGATTTAGAGACCGGGTCTACAATGACGTCAGATGCCTAGCTTTGGATCACTTCGACGTCAATGTTACGAAGCCGGACAACCCTATTACTTACGCTTGGGAGGGTGGCAAGCAAATCTTCAGAGACCCTGACTTCTATTCCTTCTGTGTCACGAAAGAAGAATATGACGAGGAGGGCAAGTCTTTAGCTTTCGAAAGGTTCGACATTTAGCGTCGGAAACGAGCGAGAAAGTCTTCGGAATAAGACTTCTCGCTCGGTAAAAGTTTCAGATTTTGGATGTGAGGACATTAAGACAGTGCTACGGCTAAGTGAAGGATAGATAATTTCTGTTTAATGAATAATGATGTATTAATTATGATGATTGCAATATAGACGTATTTTTGTGTAGTTTTGCTGTTTCATTTATAGCAGTTCAAGTGGGGCATTATACCCCAGTACCCATTTTTTTATGGAATAAGAGGCAAACGAGCCTATGGTAAGCGATGAGCGCCACCCATGGACACCCGCAACACCAGCGGAGTCGCAGGTGCGTTGCCGGCCTTTTAAAAAAGAATACGCTCTTTTCTTGAAGGTTTTAAAGAGTATTTAAAAAAATAACGAATTTACATTGCATGCTAATTAAGTTTATGATGTTAAAAGTTGATATCTTTTTATAAGACATCTTTCAGAATTCGCCCCTTTTATGCCCCAAAACCAAAAAGCTAGCTAAAGCGTCTTCTCACATTCTAATAATACATCACCCTCTGCAGTCATTGGTACAAGTGCTACTATCGAACAAGGCCATAAGAATTCCTGGGTTTGATTCCCGGATCTATATTCAATCCCTACCTGGCAATATCTATGCTACCTGGCCATCGCGTTCAACAGGTGCACGGAAAATGAGGTTTTACTCAATTGACACCAAAGATAACAAACAGGCCAGTTACAATAGAATGAGAATGACGTAAAAAATTCAAAATATCGACAATTTGTCAAAAACATTCGAATCAACAAACGGGAGAGAAAGCGGATCAAAAAATTAATATGTTACTGAGGATCGTTACCAGATATTTACGACGAGGCATTTCAACCACGCCGCGTTTGCTAGATCAAAGAGGTTTGATAAAATTTAAGAAGATACAAGCTGATTTTCAATGTGATGATGGACGCCCCGTGTTTCTAAAAGGGGGTTTCTGTGATAGAGTTTTGTATGGCATTACTCTGATAGCATGCTTTGTTGGCCTATGTTACGTTCTTGCTACCATTTATGACCATGCCAAACCACCTTCATGGAAACAAGTGTGCTAAAACTTAACATTTAATTAAATAAAAGTATTTTTGGGTAATTTTGTTTCATTTGCAAAGCGGTAAAGTGGGGCTTAGATTTTAAGATACTGTACCTTTGTGATATAAAGATAAATAAATAATAACAAAGAGCACATTGTGGTGGCGGTAGCTAAATAATATTAGGTATTTTCATCAAGCTTCCTTGTCCGTGCGTACTGCTAAGAAGTGTAATTTTTTGCCAGAATCTGTATTTTCTAAAGCGTACCTATAACCTGGGTAACTTCAAGCCTTGAGTGAATAGGTTGCTCATGAGATGAGATGCTGCATCGTACGTAGATCACATCATCACTTACCACCAGGCGAGGTAGTAGTTAAACGTCGGCTCATCAAATATATATAAAAATAAGATGGGGGATCTCTACCTAGGTGGGTATTCCTTTGATTGAGGCATTATGTCAGTACTCCACAGAATTGTTACTGTATTATTTAATAGAATAATTATTATACTAATTATAATTCAATCTACTTATATAATTTTATTCCAACAAAATTCAACAAATTCATAATTATTTTTCCTTAAAATAAAAGTGCAAAATGTTCTCGTACTCTTTGGTTAGTATTCTGCGGGAAAATGATTTTTCGTCTACCTAGTCTGTGGTCATATGACGAATTGTCAAATTCAATTTATGGAACTGTCATTTGGTTTTTGTTTCGATTTTGTAGTGAAATCTATGAAACTAAATCTGCTTTCATCTTGAGTTTGTGAAGTGATAAAATATTTAAAAATGGCTCTGTTCCCCGGAGCGGTGGCCTTTGACGAGTATGGTCGTCCATTTATCATTTTGAGGGACCAAGATAGGCAGAAACGGCTTACCGGTATCGATGCCTTGAAGGTAAATTATTTCTATTTTATTCCCTAATTATCACAATAAAAGCTTTTTCAGACTAACTAAATAGTTAATCAGACTCACCCCAGCTGTAATTGAGTTAAAATCTCTATAAAAAGTACAAAAAACGATTTAAAAAAGCATAACCTAAAGTCGTCAATACAACTTCGGTAAAGCAAAAAATAAACTAAATCCATTGAATTTTATAAATAAAACTCGGTTTTAAATTACAGTTTATGGACATACGAACCTTATTTAACAGTGAATTATTGTCATAAATGTATATCTTGCAAGTTACAAGAATTCATAATGTCAGGTGTTATGAATCACATGATCGTAAAATTTAGGCAACCTGTGAGATTTTTATCTTCAAATGGAGTTCCTATTGTCTCAAAATCTTATTTGATCCCAATATTATGCATTGTTTTGTTGAAAATTAATGATTCTGTACGAAATCTGTCTCTAAACTTGTTATTTTATTTTTTCCATTGTTCTATTTAAGTAACCTAATATATTTTACTTTTAAGTTATGCATCTTAACATGTTAAGCTGTGATTTATAATTTTATTTTATTTATGAGTTAATATCGATATAAAAATGTATTTTTATCAGTATTTTTGTTGCAAATACAAGGATTTTTATTGATTCTCTATCTATAGTACATTTAATTCAAATTCCTATTGTAGTGTTTTCAGTAGTAAATAAAAATTTACTGCCAATTCCAATTAAAACCTTAAAGGCTCAGAGTGTAGCAAAGTGTGTGCAAGGGATTTGGGACGTAGAAAATTTTTCAAAAAAAAATAAATTTTTTAAAAATGTCTAGTTTTCTTTTTCCATCGCTTAGTACACCTAAAAATAAAGCGAAATTCATCTGAGCACTTTTTGTCTAGGACTTCACATTCGCCTGCAAATGAGCTCTGAAAGTCGCTTGGTGAAAAAACTTAGAAAATTTTTGTCCCAAATCCCTTGCACACCCTTTGCTACACTCTGACCCCTTAAAGTATTAATTTGGAATATAAATTATATTGATTCTGAGTCACTATTTCACTACTTATTCATGTTCCTATGAAAAATGAATCATCTCTGCATCATCTAAAGGTTTACTGATAGAGAATGCATATACTATGTTGGTATTGAATATTAATCCAATAAATAAAATATATTCAGAAAATTTAATTCCATTTTTATATCTTGAAAAGAAAAGCTGTAATATTACTTGATAGATTTTAAATTTTATTACAAAATTAAGAAAGCTTAAAGGAAGCTTAATTTGCTACTGTTCTGTATGAGATTCTTATCTACCTTTGATGAAATTAAAGATGATCTATAATTTTTATTTCTACCTTTACAGTCCCACATTTCAGCAGCCCGGCAGATTGCGAGCATTCTCCGTACCTCCCTGGGTCCCCGTGGGCTGGATAAGCTCATGGTATCTCCGGACGGTGATGTCACAGTCACTAACGATGGAGCCACCATCTTGAAGTTGATGGATGTAGAGCATCAGATTGGCAAACTGCTGGTACAGTTGGCCCAGAGTCAGGATGATGAGATCGGTGATGGTACTACCGGAGTCGTCGTGTTGGCTGGTAAGTTCTGTTTGAACAGATTTTAATTTGATGGATCTATTTGATGTGTGCTATTTAGTCATAAGTTATCAAAATATGTAGACCTAGCACATTGGTTTTTTAAAAACCATATAGCTCACTGCAGAAAAATGAATGTGTTTTGCATAAATATTTGATAACAGAATCGTCAGTTCTGTATTTATCTCTAACTAGCTTCTGCCCGCGACTTCGTACGCGTAATCCCATTTTTTCCCGTCCCCGTTCGTGATTTTCGGTAAAAAGTAAAAAAAAATATGTTGGTTAAAAAGTATCCTATGTCGGTCTCCTGGCTCTAAGCTACTTCCCTAACAATTTTCAGCCAAATCTATTTTGCCGTTCTTGAGTTATAAGTGGTGTAACTAACACGACTTTCTTTTATATATATAGATTAAATTATTATGTTTTCGGCTTACTCACATAATAATTTGACGAGGAACTCGACTACTTTAAAGCCATGCTAGAGGCTCATATGCATGAGCAGCATTTCACGACTCGCGACGCGGCGACTGTCGCGCTGCTGCTCTATAGAAAATAATTACTAATTTCAATAGGCTATGGCACTAATAAGATAAATGTAACTCGTCATATCAAAGTATTATTACACCTTTGAAAAAAAAATCAATCTGTGTAATGTTTCCATTCTTGTTATTCATCCCAAAAGAAAATTATCAAAAGATGCTTGGGCACGAATGGGTCGGCTCGACCCAAGTGTTATATCAGTCTCACAGAAAACCGACGTGAAGAGAAACTACGCTTGTGTTGTATTTCGTCGTCTGAGTGAGGTTACCGGAGTCCCAACTAGACGCCCCTGTCCAAAAGGCCGGTAACGCACTCATGGACACCTGGCACACAATGACTGGTGTGCCAGGTGTCCATGGGCGACGCCGATTGCTTACCATCAGGTGATACGCCTCCTCATTTTCCGGCTTATCCCATTTAAAAAAATGTTATGTTGCCATGATCAGTTGGGTGACGTTTCATATGGTTACGGCAGACTAGAATAGTTTTGCCACCACCTCTCTTCGTCTTGTGAGTGCTGACTAAAAACCTACAGATTTTCTGTCACATTTATTATATTCATAAATAATTGTACTTTGTCTTTCTCAGGTGCCCTTTTGGAGCAGGCATCCAACCTCCTTGACAAGGGTATCCACCCCATCCGTGTAGCGGACGGCTTTGAAATGGCCGCTGCAACTGCGCTGGCTCACTTGGAGGGCATCAGTGAAGCTTTCCCTGTCAACAAGGATACCAGGGAGCACCTGATCAAGGTTGCCATGACAACGCTGGGCAGTAAAGTGGTTGTGAAGTGCCACCGTTTGATGGCTGAGATTGCAGTTGATGTAAGTTAATCAATTTATTTTTTGACGTTTTATAAGTATTGCAGGTAATTGAAATTAATATTCACTTTCCTTATTCTAAATAACATAATATTATGAATAAATATATACAACTTAAAATCGAACTAAAACGGCGAATATAACAATAAAAAAAGCTAAAAGAAAAAAAAAACGAAATACCGTTAGTTAGGCGTCTAAGAATAATTAATTTATAAGTTAATCAACTTAATTATAATTATCAGTCGATTAATTAATCAATTGATTATGAGGGAGAAGGGAATTGGAATCTAGGGATTGAATCTTATATTATGGAGTACATTCAATAAAGTGGAATATAGAAAATGACACGTCTGCCTCTATCTACGCCTTTAAAACGACGTGTAGATTGTATTAGCTAAGATATTTTTTAGGTGATATTGAGACCATGATGACAAATCATGCGATGTACAAATGACAGAACGTCTGTGGTGATACACGCATGCTGCCTTCCTACTGATGTCTCAATATATCAATTTAAAATATTAAAATTAAATAATATTGTCAAATACAAATCATGATAAAATTATATATTACTAGCTTTTACCCGCGGCTTCGCTCGCGTCACAAAAGGCAAAAAACACACACAGCGCCATCTATACAAATACTTTTGTTTTCCCTCAGGAATATCAAATTTTTTCCGGGATAAAAAATACCCTATTATTTAATCCGGACTTCTAACTTCACGTCTGCAAAAATTCAAAGCAATCGATTTAGTAGTTACGGCGTGAAAGCGGAACAAACAAACAAACTCACTTTCCGATTTATAATATTAGTAAGGATAAGGATAAAGTTTTAAGACTTATAATACAACACAAAGTTATATCTTAATTTCTTCCAATTATTGTAATTTTACATTAATTGATATTTTAAATGTTACTTTAAAGTTTTAATAAATAATACCTTAATAACACTTCACCTTAAAAACATTCCATCCACAGGCTGTTCTCTCGGTAGCTGACCTGGAGAAAAGGGACGTGAACTTTGAACTGATCAAGGTGGAAGGCAAGGTTGGAGGTCGCATGGAAGATTCCATGCTGGTCAAGGGAGTCGTCATCGACAAGACCATGAGCCACCCGCAGATGCCTAAGACTTTGAGGGTATGTTTTTTACGAAATACTTTTTGACCCTATTTTAGCTCTGGTGACTAGAGTAGAATACAATGGAGGCTAACGCTTTTTTTGCTCACGAGATGACGCTAGTGAGCGGGCTTCTTTGTCGTCCATAGAGAAGTTAGTGTCATAATATTTGATGTTTAATTTAACTGCACGGTTAGAGCGGTGGCTGGGCAACTGGCTGCCCCGCAACGTGTCGCGTGTTCGATTCCCGCACGGAACATTTCTATGTGATTGGGTGTGTATTGTTCCGGGTCTGGGTGTCATGTGTATGTGAACTTGTGTGTTTGTAAACGTACCTACGACACAGGAGAACATCCTAGTAAAAAAATTAAAGACAATGATTGGACAAAATTACCTCTTGGTAGATTAGCGCCTTTGTCACCCACCCCCCACCCCCACCCCCCCTCCACTGTGGGTGTCGCAGAAGTTTTCTAAGAGACTACATATTCAACAGAAAACGTCTCGCAGTGCTCTCTGATAAACCTGAACTTTTTAAACTGCGATGTCAAAGCGGATATAGAAGATGGTAAACCCATCTATTGTAGAAGATACCTACAGTTTTTTCGACTGCACGGTTGGTGCGGTGGTTGGGCAACTGGCTGCCGCGCAACGTATCGCGGGTTCGATTCCCGCGCGAACAACTCTTTGTGTAATCCACAGATTGTTGTTCCGAGTCTGGGTGTCATGTGTATGTGAACTTATATGTTTGTAAACGCAATCACGACACGGGAGAAAATCCTAGAGTGGGACAACGTTTAAAAATAAAAAGTAGCAGTGGACTCTCACGAGATTCAAAACTCAGATTTCAACTGTACTATCTGCACAATAAAGTCTAACCTAACTAAACTCCCTACAGGACGTGAAGCTGGCGATCCTGACATGTCCGTTCGAGCCCCCCAAGCCTAAGACCAAGCATAAGTTGCACGTCGGCTCAGCGGACGAGTACCGCGAGCTGCGTCAGTATGAACACGACAAGTTCTTGGAGATGGTGCATAAAGTTAAGGTAATGTACACTGTTTTAATCGACTTTAACAAAACAGAAGTGTGACCTGTATGTTTGTATGTTTGTGAACGACTATCTCGCGATTGACTGAGACCATGATGACAAATCATGCGATGTGCAAATGACAGAACGTCTGTGGTGATACACGCATGCTGCCTTCCTACTGATGTCTCAAAATATTAATTCAAAATACAAGTTAAATTTAGCTTTTCAAAGCTAAATTTAACTTGTATTTTACTATGAAGTTGCATCTCCAAAATTCTATTAATAATCCACAATGCACATTTATAAAAAATTTGTAACTGTAACTTAAAATCACATCTTCAAACTCCAGGATGCTGGTGCAACCCTCGCCATCTGTCAATGGGGCTTCGATGACGAGGCGAACCATCTTCTCCTGGCTGAAGGTCTCCCAGCAGTGAGATGGGTGGGAGGTCCAGAGATGGAGCTGATCGCCATCGCCACCGGTGGACGCATCGTGCCCCGTTTCGAAGAGCTGACTCCTGACAAACTTGGCTCTTGTGGATTGGTCAGGGAACTGAGTAAGTAGATTTTTAGACTATGAATCTTTCACTACATAAGAGGGTTTGCCAATAATCGTAATGGTAGGCAGGCAGATTGGAGTTTGCAGCTTAACCCTTCGAGTGTCCTTATGAGCACCCGGTGGATCATAAGAAAAAATGCTCCAAATGTCACGTGTGCACCCGTTGGATCATAAGGAACGCGGACGCTCGACGGGTTAAGAATATCAGATAACGCTACTATCTGATCCCTATTTACTGTGTATTTTCTTAGTCGGCTCATACAACTTCCACGAAGAGAGTAGAGAAGGTGATACATGTATTCTAGTCCACCATCACTCACGTGACGATACATAACGGTTTGGTTGTTTCACACTGGGTTTCTTTCTGTCCAAACGTGAATGACTCTCTCACGTGGTTTATTGTTGTCACAATTGATCAAACTGTCAAGTTATCCGAAACTATAATTATACTAGCTGACCTGGCATACTTCGTATCATCTCACAAACATTTTTTCTCATATTTCATTTTAAGTCCCTATACTATACCCTTAGTTATGTATTATCGACTTTAACAATCATGTCTTCCCTCTTTAATATTTTATTATTACCTTAACTTCGTTATTTACTTTATACTTTCTTTTTACAATTTTGCACCTACCGCTTTAACATTCTGCACCACCCAATGGTCGACTGTCAGAAAATGCCTACGCCATTAAGTCCGCCAATTTCACTGTATGTGCAATAAAGTTTAATAAATAAATAAATAAAATATTTAATCCTTCGCTGGAGTTCCACAAATAATTCAAAACCAGAATTAGCCAATATTTTACAATGTTTTGTTTTCAGCGTTCGGTACATCGAAGGAAGAGATGTTGGTGATCGAGGAGTGTTCGAACAGTCGCGCGGTGACAGTGTTGATGCGCGGCGGCAACCGCATGATCGTGGACGAGGCCAAGCGGTCCGTGCACGACGCGCTCTGCATCGTGCGCAGTCTTGTACAGGTATGTGAAGCATACTTTATGGTATAGGATGTAAACTAGCAGACGGATCACTTGATGGTAAGCATTCCATGCCCATGAACACACGCAACACTAGAGGTACACAAGTACGTTATCGGTCTGTTAAAGATTCGTATATTGAGGAAGAGAATTGGGTTTTCAGTAACCTCACTCATATGAAGAAATCTAAAGCCATCATTATTCCACGCTCCGGTAACCCGCATCTCCGGTATCGTCTACGATAGCATCTCCGGTAACCTCAATCACATGGCTGTGGATGTTTCATGCTGATTTTCTGCGAGCCGGTCCGACAATGCCGAAACATGACTCTCTTGATGCCATTTTCATTATTCCTTACATACACAGCCATACATGAAAATTTCTTGTATTGATGTTATATTTATGGCTAGCTTCTGCCATTGGCTTTGCCCGCGTTTTTGTGCGATAAAAGATACCCTATGTGTTATTCTACACCATAATACACCTCTAATGCGAGTTTCATCCTGTTCCCTTCAGCCTTTGTGACGTGATTGCATGACAAATATACATACAAACTTCGCATTTACACCGTGAAACCTTTTTGTTTACGTACCGAAGTAAAATGGTTCTGTATTATGAAAACAAAGAAAAAATTAAAACGAAATATAGCTGGTGAACCATTGCAAAAAGCAAACTTCAATAGCGCATACGAACTCGATAGTACATTATCAAAACATCACGCCATGTAATACTCATCGGGTGACACGTGCGATGCGTATAGTGTCTACCTACGTCTGGTGTTTCATGTCCATGAAAGTTTTTTTTATTTTTTAATTACATCTTTGTTTTTTTGTTCTTACTTTATGCATCGAAAGTACTCCCCTCATGGCAAGTTGTTTTGCCGCGGGACAAAAACGAAATAGATTTCACGGCGTATAATATTAGTGAGGTGTAATAATAATATAAAATATGTGTTTAGGACTCCCGCGTAGTGTACGGCGGTGGTGCAGCAGAGATATCGTGTTCTCTGGCAGTGGCGCGCGCGGCGGACAAGTTGTCGTCTCTCGACCAGTACGCGTACAGAGCATTCGCAGACGCACTCGAGGCTATACCACTCGCACTCTCTGAGAACAGGTCAGTATATCATCTTAAGTATTTTTTTTAAACACGCTTTTATTAGTGAAGTCGACCTGGTAACGAAATCAAAGAATTAACTAAAAATCGCGGGCTACTCACGTGAGAAAACCACAGAGGGGTTCTTCCTCATGAGCAGCGTGCGCGGTCGCGGCGACGTCGCGCAGCTAACTGCATCGCACTGGTCACTGGTCTGGGATTTTTAGTTAATTTAGTATGTCTTACAATAGTCATTATTAAAAAAGAAATCTAAGAAGAATGAAATTTTTTTATTTTATACTTTATTCTACACACAGAAAAATTAGTTAACATTGTAATGGTATTAATTACACAAACTTCTAATTCTTGTATCATAATGAAACTGGGCAATTATAATAATTATGTTGATATATATACTAGATGACCATACAATATCATGGTGCAATCAAGCTAGTATGATGATGGTATTGGAAGATGGCTCAGGGAAGCCTTCGGCTGTCTAATAGTCGAATACTTAATATCGAGATTTGGTTTATTACATATGACCATCTTCTTTAACAACGAGGCACATAATTATAATTAAAAGTGCGTTTTTAGTAGTTTTAACTGTTTTATTGTTCACTAAAGAGGTATACTATGTCGTGTATACTGCTGTAGTGGAAATATTATGTAACTAATAATATATTGTTGTGTTTGTAGTGGCCTGTCCCCTATTGACACGCTGTCGGAGGTGAAGTCTCGTCAGGCATCCGAGAACAACCCCAACCTCGGCATTGACTGCATGGGCAAAGGTAAGCATTGGCATAATTTTAATAACAACTATTATTAAGTTAATGTACGGAGTTGATATAAGATAAAAACGAATTCTTCATTAGAGTATTAGGCTGGCATGACAAATTCAAGTACCAATATGAGTTTTTCAGAGTTATATGTACTTTCTAAGATTATTTTGACACCACTGACAAATGGTGAAGGAAAACATCGTGAGGACACCTGGACTTATAATTTCTAATTATTATAAGTTTTAAATCCCCAACCTGCATTGAGCAAGCGTGGCGATTAATGCTCAAACTTTATTCGTGTGAGAAGACGCCTTTGTGGGAGTGGTCACTTACAGGCTGTTGATGATGCTGATTATGAAACACCTCATTCCTTGTTAGTTATATGTACTATCGGCAAAGATAACCGTTGTACACTTTTTAAACAAAATTCTAGCTCCAAACTAGCTACCCACCGCCCTGTTTTCCCTGTGGTCGCTCACGCCAAATGTATGCGAATACCGCGTAATCATAGTCAACCACTAACTTGGACATAGGTTTTTATAGAGCTCTTAGGGGCCGTTCAAATATTACGTAAGCAGATTTTCTACAATTATTTACCCTCCCCCCATCCCCTTTGTCAGCAAAAGTAAGCAAAGAACTTACCCCCTCCCCCTTTGCTTACGAAAACATTTTAAATTATATCTTTTTTATATTGTAATTTTAATATTCTCCAAATACCATAATGTCTCGTTTTTTGTCGGTCTTTGCTTTTAATTTATAATTTCAATATGAGGGTTGCCATTCGTGTAAAAAAGTAAATACCCTATCCCCCATATCATCCGAAATAAGCAAAACAGAGACCCCCCCCCACGCCCCCATGGTTCTTACGTAATACTTGGCCGTGCGGCCCCTTAGACCATGGCTTGCATTGAGGAAGACGTTGAATTTCCGAGAAACTCGCCTATCTTCAATATAGTTAGACCAACAACGAACAAATTACTGCAGTAAAATAACTTTAATCCCTTCTCTTTCAGGATCAAACGACATGAAAGCAATGAACGTGATAGAGTCGCTTCACTCAAAGAAACAACAGATTTCCCTCGCTACACAACTCGTCAAGATGATACTCAAAATTGATGACGTGCGCTCACCAGCAGAATCTATTGAGTAAAAGTATTATTTTCTAACCTTATTATATCTATGATCTTTTATAATAATACGCCTAACTATAGTCCTGTTATGTATGCATAATTATATTTACCAATATACATAATTACTTGGTATTGTCAGCTCTTCAAGTGTATTGTTTAGTCGAACTGATGGTAGCGGTGACTGTCCATGCTATACGCGTACTTAGGAATCGTCATGAGCTAATGTTCACATGTAAACAGCAGCTCGTGTGAAGATATTGTCCAGTCAACTAATGTTGACTGTTCAATCATGTTTGGAGATATTTATGCATATGTAAATGACTGGTATAATAGTTATTTTTAATATTTGGAGCTTGGTCGTGTAAGTTCAGTTTGATGTTTAATCAAATGGACAATAAAACTGGAATAATTTAGTCTGTCTTATATTACATTGCATTTTATGCTAACAATCACAAATTGTACATATTTCATAATATGTAGTACATACAACTATTAGAATATTTGTTTTATTTTAATCTTCAACTAGACGGATTCGCTAGATATCCTAAGAGCTTGTATCTGTCTCAAAATTGAATTTATGTGTCACCCTTTGTCGGTGTTTGTACGTCGACAGTTTTGTAATTTAGAATGCTAGTAATGGTATAATATTGAAAATTTTCTATAACATAAGCAAAATGCAGGGTGCTTTTAACCGACTGATCTGGAATTCATCTTTAGCAGTAGATGTCCTGTTGTTTATAATAATACCAACTTAACCCTTTGAGTACCGTCATTATAGACACAATTAACTCGTCGAGTACCGGTTTTATAGACACAATTAAAGAACAATAGGTCGCGGTCACCGGTGACCGCTTGGTGTTTGACAGTTTAAAGAACAATAGGTGTGCGGACACCGGTGTCCTCGCGGTGTTTGACAGTTTAAGATGATGATCAAACAAAATTCTATGGCTTTTGTCCATGCTACGGTTTTTGTCAATTTTAGTGATCTTATTCATAGTGCTAACTATTCCCACTATATTGATAAAAACTACCACAAAGCATCGAGTTTAATATTCATTAATGCATCGTCTATGAACTCGTGCAGTATAGTCGATAACATTGTAGACTCGGTTCCATTCAAGAAGAAAACACCTAGACTGAAACCCGGAAATACAGTACTCCAACTTCATACAATCGGACGGTCTAATCTACGGAACACTATTGGTACGAATTTGGTACTTTATTTTATGTCAGATAAGACTTAACCATCCCGCTACGATCTATAGGCGTCGACCAGCGGTAGTAGTTTGAAAATAAAGTCATAATATCAAAATATTATACCACTATTAGCATTCTAAGTTCAGTAATATTTCAATTGAATGTAACAGTAATGTTATTTTAATTATATTATGTAAGTCAATGCATTTCACTGTATGCGAGTGGTTATACCAAACGTGAAGGATGCCTTATTGCACTAATAAAATAATAAGCTAATTTATTTCTTGGTCTTTTATTTCATTCTATGTGCCTCCTCTTTTTTATGACTTGCCCTATACTTACTTGGATTCTCTCCTGTCGTGGGTACGTTCACAAACACAAATGAAAATACACATCATGACTACATACTCTGAACAATAATTTGTGCATCACACAAACGAGTTTGGTTGGACTGCCTCATTGGCCGAGTGGTCGCAAGTGCGACGAGTGGGTTTTCAAAAATTTCTCAGTAGTAGCACGAAGTCTGGAATTGTACCCGGTATATGGCAATAGGCTCACACCCTATTACATGGGACTCATAACATAAATAGTGAAAAGTGGGTGTTACATTGTACAGTGGCATAATGTGCACCTCTGCCTACCCCTTCGGGGATAAAAGGCGTGATGTTATGTAATGTGTTATGTTACAAACGAGTTTGGAGTTGTTCCATGCGGGAATTCTCGACACGTTGTGCAGAAGTCTGTCGTCTAACCTCCGCACCAACCGTACAGTTATTAGGCTAAGGATTCACGGAGCGATTTTTTCCCGCCGCGCCCGCAGCAGTTGATGAACACAGATATGTATGTAAAAAAGTAAAGCACATTTCACGGTTGGCAGGCGATCTGGAACTCGATTGATTGTTTAACCGCCAGTCTTGCGACAACCGCCAAGTTTGCGGGCGATAGTCGCAACCGCGGCGGTTGCGGGACCGCGGAAAACTGCGGTCTCGTAACTTTTGAACGTGGTTTTGAAAATAAATTTCCAGACGGTGAAAATCGCGTCGTGAGTCCCTAGCCTTACTGTGTCGTTAGGGTCAATTTATACTAGGGCAGAGTCAAAGCGCACCGAAGCGTTAAATTCTTCACAACTAAAGCGAAGCCGCACGAATGCGCGCGCTCTGAAGAGTAGTAGGTAATGGGCATTAACTGCATGGATTATATAGGCATTCATATTTTTTGCACCAGTAAATTAATTTTTCGTCCAATCCATTCGCAAGTGGGAGTGTGGATACGCGAGAATGCACGCGTTTTTGTTTTAGGGGCGAAAATCATCGAATGACTGCTCCCGCCTGGGTGAGGTGGGAGGGAGTGTCAGACTCCTACGGACTAAAAACCACCCCGTTCCTTATCCTGCACGAGCCGGAGCCCCGGTAACCCGTTAGGTTCACCGCGACACGCTGTAGGGTTAAGGTTGAATTTGTTATGTTCAGTTTTGAATAGACGCTTCGACTTTGCCCTAGTATAAGTCGACACTTTTTTTTTTTGAGGGGGAAATATCATCGACTGACTGCTCACGCCTGGGCCCCACCCACGGGAGTGTCGGTCTCTTACTGACTAAAAACCACCCCGTTCCTTCTCCTACACGTCGAACCGTCGACGCTTCGATTCTGCCCTAGTATAAATTTACCCTTAGTAATGATCCTAAATGCCAACTGGGGCCTTGCCTTAGTATTTTTGGTTCATGGCTTCGAGGCTCGAGCAAAGAGTATAATAAGTATAGGGGTAGGCTCGAGTACGATTCCCGAAATGTAAGCAACTGCTGTTGGGCGACAAGTGACTGTTTAAACTGTGGTAATGATGCCACTGACTGACCATGATAGATCTCTACATGAAAGAGGAGTTTGCATTTTGACTCTTGTCACAGAAAGTATGACAAGAGTAGAAATTACAGCTATCTTGAATCCATCCGGGTTAGTGATTGCAGTAATTTTTGCTCATACACCGTGACTTTATGCCCTGTACAGAGGACATTTGGAGTCAGCTTTAGTTGTTCCGTTTTGCATAACGGTAAAACGGAGTAAATAGATACAGAAGAGGAGTGAATGTTGGGAAAATATTCTAACATTAATTCACCCCATTCCTGTATATAATCACCTCTCGAAACCTATTTACCCCGTTATATAATAAACACCATAGAAAATACAGTGTCTTGCGTAGATCTGCTAACATGCCTTGGTTCCGCATTCTATGGGTTAGGTTAGGTTAATAAAATACCAATTTAGTATTACCATAATTTTATTGTATTGAAGTAAGTTAGCCTATATACATCCCGTACCGTACAAAACAAATCTAGTAATCGACCTTTGGGTTCTGAGAGTGTGCGAGTGGGAGGTGAATACATCAATATATCTGGCTCGCTCCCACTCGAGGAGAATATCGGAGACTTAAAGCTAGAACAGTTAACATACGCTTGACTACGCCCAGGAACAGATTACATTGTCAGCTCCTGTGAAAGAGAAAGGGTAAAATTAGTTAACGAAAGATGGAACACGTGTTTGAATTGGTCGTAATCAAAATACATACAGATTGTACTATCATTCATGACAACTTAAAAAATAAAAATATAGATTATCATTGCCCTTTATCAGTAACTGGACACAAAGACTGATTCGTTAAGTAGTATACATTTGGTGAATATTTGAAAACCAAAAAACAGTATGTAATATGAATTCTATGATCTAAGTAATACATACCATAATAGCGTTGACAATATCGGACTGGTTGTTCCGGAGCGCGCGGACGGCCCGCGCCCGCGACACGTTGGCTTGTGACATCACTATCTCGACATCCTTCTCATCCACCCCGGTTTCATCCACTCCTTCCTCATCCTCTTCCTCGGCTATGGGAGCCACCGTCTGTAAGAAGATATGTTTATAAAGATTTTGAAAAAAATGCAAGTATGTTCAATGTGTCGAGTCGCTGACAAGATTTTAGAGCCATGGCGTCGTTATTGTTATTTATTAGATTGGATTATTAGGTAATTTTTTTATTTCAGAACACTTCAGACACAGCCAAGGTAGATTTCATATTCGTAAATCAATTATAGCATAATTTTTATCATCATTAGTGTCTAAAATCACACAAAAGCTTTTTGTAAAGACCAGGAACAATTACAATTAGTGGATCATAGAAATAGTTGTTCCGTGCGGGAATTGAATCCGCGACAAGTTGCGCCGCAACCAGATACCCAGGCGCTGCGCCAAGTTCAGTAAAATTGAATTTTCTCAGTACTAGTATTTGAATACTAGTTCGAGATTTCCAAAAAAAAAGGCCAAAAATTCTCACCGTTCCAGCAGCAGCAGCATCATTGCCAGCGGCAGCGCTCTCGGGAGCCTTGAACCTCTCCGCAGCAGCCATGGTGGCTTGTTGAGACAGGTCCTCGATCTTGGCCTCTCCGAACACGATGTAGGTGTCTGAGTGAGGGTTCTTGTATACATCCGGGGAGTTGATGACGAAGAGGATGTTCTTTGACTTCCTGATTGTGACCCTGTTTACTCCTTGCACCTGGAATTGATATCATCGTATCATTAGTTTACTTCTGAATAAAGGTTTTTACTTACGTCGAGAAAGTATGAGTATGAATCACCTATCACCTCAATCAGCAAGCATAGTGATGATGAGAATTGATTGCGTCATTGGCCTAGTGATCGTAAGTATTTCTGTTTTATTTTTTTTAAATTCTCAGTAATAGCACAGTCTGGAATTGTGCCTGGTATATGTGACTCATAACATAGGTAAATAGTGAAAAGTGGGTGATACACTGTACAGTGGCATAATGTGTACCTCTGCCTACCCCTTCAAGGATAAAAGGTGTGATGTTATGTTATGGTGTTATTTAATGGTAAAGAATACTATAATTTTACTAAGTGTGATTCAAAATTTGTCATTAATATAATGAGTACCACACTGATAGCATAATGTGGTCAGATATCATTTTGTGGTTAGTGATTAACAGTCAGTAGAATCAGAAACCAATTCCATATACAGATACTACAACAAAAATAATATTTTTACAATACTGTAATTGTTATTCTTAAAAAATTTACTTCTATTACATTAGACCACCACTTATTATTTGTTTAATTTTACTATCATATTGTTAAACTCGGGACAAATTGACTTGGATCACAGACGATATAAAATTCAATAGACTACACAACCAAAGACTTGTGACCAGTGCCGTTAGCCAAACGCCACTTTAGCGCTTGTCTACAGAGAGAGTAGAAATCAAAATCTATGGGGATGACACTGACAAGTGTCAAAATTTACGTCAATTCCATATAATTTGGTTTTCTATTCTACATGTAGACAAGCGCTAAATGGCATTTGGCTACAGCTGCTGCTAAGATAAGACAAGCATTTAACTTACAGGTTTGAGTCCGAGTTTGCTCATGATCTTGCGGGCTTTCTTCTCACCGCGCGACTGTTTAGCCTTGGACACGATGTCGATGCCCGCGATCGGGTTGGAGATACCTCCAGTGCCGGGTGCACCTATTATATCGATCAAAGTTATAAGTAACTATTATGAAGTTAACAATAGCATGCTTTGTTATTTCTCAAAAAAGGATGAAAACGATTCACAGGAATTCCTTATGCTGATAAGACAAAGATCAAGATATCCCATATGAATAGCCATTCACAATTAACCTATTATGTTGGCACAGATTGCCAAGTCGAAGGTCCCATTAACACCAAAATTCTCAAGTCAAAGTTAAATGTGCAGTATATTATAGCATCATTATTTTTTAATCAAATTGTATACCAACAAGAAGTGTAAATAAATAAAAAAAATTAAAATAAATATAGCCGTTTCCCTGTTGCCAAATGTCTTTTCTATCGAAACTTACGTATATTTATTTATAGTATCATAAACCAAATGTGAATATCTAATGATACTTTATCCGAGCTAAAGATTGTACACATTATAATGCTATTATGATTTTGAGTATAATCATTAGCTCAGCAAGTCAATTCCTTTAACATTCTGGAATTATAAATAGAAATCTTGGATGTATTCGAGAACAACTTTGCTCTAGATTGCTTTGCGTAATTAATTTTATCTTGTATAATGTTTAACATATCATCATCGCTTCCCCGATCTCTAAATCCCCAACAATCTTCAAATTACTAACTCTCAAAACGCCGGTAACACATTTGTAACGCCTCTGGTGTTCCGCGTGTCAATGGGCGACGCCGATTGCTTACCATCAGGTGATCAGTCTGCTCATTTACCAGCCTATCTAATAAAGTAAAGACATCTTACCAGCATCTTCCAATTCTGGGATGGTGTCATCGGAGTCGCTGTCCGAGGAAGCGGTCTCCTCCTTGCGCTTCTCAGTCATGGAGGCGGTGGCCTTGTCCAGCTCTGTGAGTTCCGGCATTGTGGTGTTTGTGTTTGATGTTATTTTGGTTTAGACGAAGATTCCTGTTAACAGTAAATCTGTTTGTTAATCAATTAGTTACATGGCTTTAAAGTTGAGACTGTTTCTGTGTTGTTGATTATAAAACTTGCTTAATATACAGTATAAGTGAAAAACAAGCAGTTCTCTAAAATTACAGATTAATTATAAACCGGGCAAGGGGTCTCATGTGTGATTCCTGATTTGGGCAAAGTATTACTGGGTTTATAAATATTTCTCATTAGCAAGGAGTCTGAAATTGTGCTCATAAATATTGTATCTGACTGTCATTCTGTGCCTACAAGACAAAGTAAGTAATGGATAATCTGCATCCTAGCAAGAAAATTTATAAACAAATCCATATACATTTAAGAGCCCAAAGAACCTCATCTCAATAAATAGGCAAATATTTTATGAAATTAGCATATTTAGAAATAAAACTAATTTCAATGATCAAATTCACAAAATAGAGAGATAATCATATACAAAATCAGTCACTTTTTACCCAAAATACAAAGTTCAACCGAATAACAAAGAGGTTTGAGGTTACACACAATAACTCTTGTCTGTACATTACAAAATCAATACTGGCCAGCTACATCTAGCTTCATAACAATTTGCAACAAGAATAATAAAATAGAATTTTGTGAGACAGAATTTGATACTTTATTATCTTTCTAGCATGGATATAAAGTTACATTCTTTAATTTATGAGAAAGGTGGACAGTTATTCACCAAAATATGTCGTAAAGAGGTCTTTATTACATTATTCTGTGTTGATTAAAACCTTTCCAGTTTGTATGGAGGTCCCTAGTGCGCATATGCCTAAATGTAGAACCTAAATATAAGCTCAACACAGTAAAACACATTTCAAAAAATAAATATTCATAGGAGTGATGTTTTTTAAGACAAATGTAGCATATCTAGGATATTTGATAGCGAGGTTAAAGCCGATAGCCGATATTTTAACCAAGAATAAAACACGAAGACATGACCATGAGTATCAATAATAAAAATTACGTTATGAAGAGCTTCGTAATATTGCAGAGTAATGCGGAAATACTTTAATTATAATATAATGCCTAATACAACAGGCTCAGATACTTAATATCACTGAAAACTATAAATAATTGAACACTTGTGCGAAAATAATATGGGCGCGGGTTTTGCTAATATACCGAACCGAAATATTGAAATAACAACACAAACTTGCAATTATTTCACCTCTGGACACTAAAACCTTTTAAAATTACACTTATACACTAGGATTTTCTTAAAAACTTGGGATTTATTACCTTTAATTAGGAATATTCGGTACAAAAGCAATCAACGAAGGACTCGCTTCAACTTGACAAGAGCGGAAAAAAATCAGTACAGATAAAATATTTTCGTTGATTTGTATGATTTGCGTGTATCCGAACGTTTTAAAGATGTTAACATTTTTTCTTTTGGCAACATTTACTGATATGTCAGTTAGCCGTACTGCTGTTCAAAAAAATTTAAAAATAAAGTATATATCGATGAATTATTTAATTAATTTATTTCTCAATATTAAATTACGAGAACTTATAGGGGCAATTGTATATAATATTACAATTAATTGAAGGCATATTAATTTTATTTGATTCATTCTAATAAGTGTTCATATTTTACAGGATTGCATTTTTTTTTAACAAATTGTATTTTTATATTTTACTGTATATTAATACTGCAAATTTACCACTTGATAAAAAAGTTTTCAAAATATCATAATATTTACTAATCTTATAGTACTAAATAATGAAACAAGATAAAATGTTAACACAAATTGAGATCTTAAATGTTATCGATATCGATTCAAATTCTAAACTTGCGAGTACATCCCTTAACTTCATAAATTAATGTCAATACTGTCAAATCATTGAAATCATTCTTATTTCATTTCATTCGAAGGCGGTGGTATTCGTTCGTCGCAGTTTTTGTTCGTTTTCATAGTTTTTCTTCATACATAAATACTTTTATTACAAATTCATCACGGAGTGTTGATTACAATCTAATTATCCACAGTGAATGTGTTATAAGCATGTCGCTAATCGTGCTGTGATTCGGTGTAATTTAGACACTAAATTATCAAGTCCAAAGTGCGTGTTGTTTAAAATTTAATAATTTGTGTTTGTGATAATATTACATACGTGCCAAATATGTCTTTGGAAGATAAATTCAACGCCGCGGTCAACGTAATCCGGAGTTTACCGAAGAGCGGTGAGTTCTTTTTTAATTTTATTTTTTTATTGCAATGTTGATCGATTAGTTGAGTTTCTTCTGTTGTAAGCTTTATTACATAAAATTTATCGCGGTTAATCTCTTTCTAATGACACCAGAAACGAGATTATGCAAACGGTAATTATGATGCGTGTCGCACATTGTATGGTAATGTAAACATTAGTAAGCAAGTACATAGTTTCTATTATTTAGTTGCTATGGACTTGGATTTCGATGATACGTTATATTATAGAGGCCGTTTTAATTGCCAATAACAATCAATTCCTGTTCCATATTTGAAAGTTCCTAGTCCTTTTACAGGGATGAATGGCTATGTATTGAATATTGTTTATTTTTATCTATGAACACTTCTAAAATGTTTATCATGATCATTAGTAAACTAGACCTTATCTGCTGAAAAAAGATATAGTTAATTAAGCAAGAGAAAAATCAAGGGTCTAATATGAAAAAACTTCTTGTGACAAGTAATTTGTGGAATATTTTCCTTTTTATGTAATTTTGAACTATGAATTAATCAACAAACATTTTGCAATGTTAAAATTATGATCAAATCATATGAAATGAATATTTATTACTTATTTAAAATGTTATAAGAATACACACACACACACAATACACACACAATACACACATGAAATAACTAAAACAAGATTTATCAAGAAAAAAAAGAAAATGTGTCTTACCAGCCATCTCGTCCATGATAGCTTATGTTTTTTTTTTATTATCACACGTAACAACAACAGCTAGTTAATCCTAATTTAATCATTTGATTAAGAATTTTAATAGATAACAGTGTTTATTTCTTATTAGTTCTGTTATCAAACCTAATTAGATAAAGTAATGGAATTTGATCTCCTTTTAACCCAAATTTAAATATTATTAGAAAGTATAATTTGTTCAACGACATATAAAACTGTAGAGTTTCTCACCAATGAACCATCAACAAACATTTTTATTTTTTTAAATGATTGCATGTCAATGAAAATGTCAATAATTTTGATAAAATTTATTTTTAAATTGTTGTTCACCTTGTGCGGACTGGATATAAAAGGAAATTTGTGAAATAAACAATTCAATCAACAGACCCAGAATCGGAATTACCTTTGGTTATTACAAGTTTCAAAATAAAAACAAAAATCATTTGTGGCTAAGTTTAAAACCTCCTTTTAGTTGATTAAATACACTAAAATCATAACTCCTGGTATTTTATATGAATTCAAAAGGTAATAATAATGTTTCTTATTCTTACAAATTTAAGATTATTGGTTGCCTAAGTTATTTTATTAGCCTTACTAAAAACTTATTAGCTGAAGAATTTTGAACTGATTTGTTTTTTTTTGTTTGAACTTGTTAATCTAGCGAATTACTGATCCAAATTGAGTAATTATTATTCTGTTGGCTAGAGTATTTATCGAGGAAGTCTAAACTATAAAATATCACGCTACAATCAATTAGAGCCGAGAATAATGGGTGAAATCGCACATATATAGCTAGTTGATTAATAGTACAAAGTATTACTGGGGTTTTAAAAATCTCAGTAGTAGCACGGAGTCTGGAAATGTGCCCGGTATATGGCGATAGGCTTACCCCCTATTACATGGGACTCATAACATAAATAGTGAAAAGTGGGTGTTACATTGTACAGTGGCATTAAGTGCTGAAATGTGCACCTCTGCCTACCCCTCCAGGGATAAAAAGGCGTGATGTTACGTTATGTGTTGATTAATAGTCTTATTTTCATATAGAGGGCAAATCTTATGCTAATAACAGACTTGTTTATTGATAATTAAGATCTAGAGAAACACAATAACACTTTGCCCTACCTAAGAATTGGTACTAAAATATGTAAACAGTCTTGCAACCTTGTCATTTACAAGCATTTAAAAGTAAAAACTTGATTATCTTGTTATTGAAGGAAGTCGTACAAGTTTTGCCATAAAATGCAGAAACATAGTACATATCTGTTTAAGATAACGCCTTTATTCCATGGCGGTAGGCACAAACCCAGATGCTGATTAATTCTAGAGAGCATACACGTATCGTGGCGCCTCTCTGCAACCTGACGCTCTAGGCACTTGCCTACCCTGCATAGGGATAATACGGCTCTGTTCCAAGAGGGTACATATGCGGATATAAAAACCACATGATTTGTTCGAGTGGCCGCAAGTGCGACTGCATAAGGCAAAAGACGCATCAGGCAAAATACTGAAAACATTTTTTATAGCTTGACTTGACTGCCTCGTTGGCCAAGTGGTCGCGAGTGCGACTGCTGGGCAAGGGGTCTCGGGTTCGATTCCAGGGTCGGGCAAAGTATTACTGGGGTTTTTAAAAATTCCAGCTAGTAGCACGGAGTCTGGAATTGTGTCCGGTATATGGCAATAGGCTCACCCCCTATTACATGGGACTTATAACATAAATAGTAAGTGTTACATTGTACAATGGCATGATGTTCACCTCTGCCTACCCCTTCGGGGATAAAAGGCGTGATGTTATGTTATTTTTTATAGCAAGTTAACCATTTTACTCATATTTCATACGTTACCGTTGTCGATCGGTAAGTAGACCCTGAACGCAACTGTTTCTTTCCCCACTATCATTATCTATGCTGAATGCGATAACTATTGAAAAATACAGTATATTTACAAGGTCTTTTCTTTATACGCCTTTTATTCCGTCTAGAATATACATAATGTATATTATCGTAAAACTTAATAGCACTTTATCTAATTAAGAAACATCGTTCGTCATTTAAAGAATTGTATTGTGAACCTGATTGAAAAAGAGTAACCTATGGAGTTTATTGCTCGTTATTCCTTCTTCATAGCAATCTCCACCTTAGAATGAGCAAATAGCATCACTTTCTTTTTGTGGACATTCAAAAGCGCCTTTCTGGTTTAATTGAAACTAGCTGTGCCCGCGACTACGTTCGCGTGGAATAGTGATTTACTGCGCATACCCCGTAGGTGATAGCGTGTTAATATGTAGCCTATATGTTAACCCGACCCGTTAGTAATAATCATACAAAATTTGAAGTAAATCCATGCAGTACTTTTTGAGATCATCCCGGACATACATACAGACAAACAGACAAAATTGTAAAAACCATATTTTTGGCTTTAGTATCGACTGTAGATCACGCCCCAAGTATTCTTTAAAACAAAATCAATCTACAGTTTTGACTTTTCTACGATTTTATTATACGTTAGTTAAGGTTAGCAAACATTTGAACATTATCGTCATCTTCAACGGTCCACGGTTGGTTCGCCATTTTCTTTTTACTTGCCAGGTTTGAGATCACTGTTCAAAAGTTTCATATTGACCAGTGAGCGCTGCTGCTCGGTATCGGTCAAATCTCAATCTTAGTCACCCGCTGAAACAGTACAGGTGGTGTCAAAGGTATTCTGCTCTTCTGTGTCCACACAGCTAAAACTGGAGTACTACGTTAATTTGTTAGTTTCGTATCTTAGCTTCCAATGTAAAATGAATGCTAGATGTCGCCACTAGCGTTTTTGGGGCATTCAACAGTCATTTCGGTTCTTCAAAGCAATTATTTCTAATTGACCATCGTCGTAAGTCAGTAAAACCGTAATTACCTTCGTTCCACGTGTACTAGGAAAGGAAAGTGATTGCGTAATCACTTTTCCCTATGTTCATGAGCGGCACAAAATGTATGTGCTTAACATAAGTTCGTTCAAAAACCCGATTTCTGTTAAGTAAAATAAATGACGGTGCTTGGTGAAATTTTTCGTAGCCGTCAATCCACAACAGATAGGGCTCAATACGGAGCCGCGGAGGACTTATCGGGTTGCCAGGGCTCCGGCTCGAAGTGCAGGAGAAGGAACGGGGTTTTTAGTCAGTAATAGTCCAACACTCCCTCTCGCCTCACCCGGGTGGGAGATGTCACTGGATGATTTTCCCACCTGAAAAAAAGGAGAAATTTTTCGTAATAGGCCTACTGTATTACCAAATGTATAAATGATGGAAACTAAAGAAGTTTGGAAGGAACATAGTAGGAGATAGTCTGTAGTTTCTAATAAATTTAACGTTCTTTTTTATGGAATAGAGAGCAAAACCAAGCAGTCGGGTCATCTGCTAAGTATCAGCTAACAGCAGTAAGCTATCAGCGCCTCCCATAGACGAACGTAACATCATACAAGTCAGGCCACAAATGCATTCCCGGCATAAAATAAGAATTACGCTCTTTTCTTGAAGGTCGTTTCGGTTCGGAGACACCGCTCAGGACATTTCATTTCAGTTTTCTTTGCGAAGTAGAGAGTTTCGTGACAAAACACAGTTGTTGCCTTCTAAACTTTGATCTCCTACCGAACGTGGAGATTATGTCAAACCCTCTTAAGTAAAAGATGTCCATAGTCGTACAGAAGACCTACTGCGGTAAAAATAGTTAGCAATGCATTCCTTATATCAATGGGAGGAAGAGAAAGGTATGTTTAAAACTATGAATGCTTGGAGCACAATGAAACAAAACAATGAATGTTATTATATGATAAAGGTTTAGTGATTACACTAAGCTGCTAATGCTTGATAAAGTTATCTAGGAGATTATTGGCTATAACTAATTAGGTAATATTTTTTGCCGTCCAAAAGAGTGACAAGCAAAATAACTAAAATAAATAAGCCAAATAACAAAAAAAAACTTTTTTTTTCATTATTTAGCAACCGCTGTGTACTTTGTCAACTATTTGTCACATATCGCAATGTTTTGTAATCAAGTTGTAAATAATGCTGCGTGTTTCTAAACTCAGTTTCTAACATGAATGCTCTATAATTTTATTTGGAACCTCTTTGTGCCGTATTCATCAAATTCGGTTCAGCTGTTTACAACGTTACGTTGCACAAAACAAACAAATGAAGAAGACTGTTTCTCTTTCTATTCTACATCTTGTAGACTACGGAACTAAGATAGTTATTGTTCATCGTTTGCACTTCCCATTGTAACGACCGTGGGATCAGAAGACACA